GCATTTAGATAAGTTTATTATATATTATAATCACATTTATAAAATTAGCTGTTGAATAATTCGAAAAAGAGTTATTTCTTTAAAGAGGGACGAAAGATATTTATTTAATTAAACGTTTCTATTTAAAAATTTTTTATTAGTATTTATCTTTGATAAAAAATATTATACCTTATTTGGATATTTTATATATAATTTTTTATTTGATGTAATTAACCTTTCAGATTTATATTATATTAAATGCAGCAAAGCAATAATTAGACGCAATTTTCAAATGCAATCCCAGATTAAGTTTTTCCTCAAATGTTGTATTAATGGTGGAGAAAAGGCTTTCGGATTTTAGGGAAGTTGCCGGTGTACACCAGAATTTAGTATAATATATAAACAGAAATAAATTTAAATCAAGAGTTCAAGTCAAACAAAAATTTTCAAAGCCACTGTATTGAACTACGATTGAGGCATTCTTTTTTCACGTTACTTTATGATATGTAGGCACTTAATATATGAAAATGCTATAATATAAAATTCTGAAAATTAAGAAAATTCTAATTTTTATAATAAAATTTTAAACAGATTCTAACTTGGTTGGACTTATCTACTAAAATGTTAGGGAGTAATTCGCTAGTGATAACTCAATAATTTATCTTTAAATTTATATTGTTACCATATATATAATTAATCTTACTTTTTCGGATCTAATTTAATAGTTTATATCTTTAAAGCTTATTTCGTAAAAATGATTTAAGTTTAAATAAAACTTCTCGTTAAACATTATCAGATGTTACTATATTTAACTTAATTGAATATTCAAATCTTGGCATTCAAATCTTTTACATATTAATATATTATTTGTAATAAGAATAATTATTAAAGTCAAAAATATTTTTAATTTATTTTAAATAAATTTAACAATTAATTTTAACAAAAAATATTAACATTCTCGAACAAGCCAATATTTGTTTAAAATTTATTTATTGGTAAATTTACCAATAAATTTTAAATTTATTAACAATAAATTTAAAACAATAATTTTAAATTTACAATAATTTAAATTTACAATAAATTTTAAACTTATTTTAAATTTATTGGTAAATTTTTTTAAATAATTTAAACATTTTACATGTTAATAATAATTAATTTTTTTTCCAAGTTAATAATTTAACAAAAATTTTATTTTCTAAATTTTAAAAGACTTTTAAATAATTAAAAACTATAGCTTTTAAACAATGAATAATTCAAGCTATCAAGTTTATTGACCTTCAAATAAATCGATCTAATTTATAATATACCTATGCTTGTATGAGTATAATTAATAATAAAGAATATTAAAAATATTGTATATGAATTTATCATTCGTCAGATTTAAATTTAAAAACTTAAAAAATAAATATACAGGGTGCGGCATTCAATATAGGCATTCAAATAAAATAAAGTAAAACAATTCTGGAATTGTGTTAAAAATAGCTGCAATTTTAGAGTTCATACACCTGCAAATCAATTTCAGGCTGTAACTATAATAACTAAAATAATCACCCTAAAGAAGATTACATCGTTATAAAAACGGATAATTAAAATTTATAATATAAATAAACACATTTTAAACTTAATAGCTACACATTTAAAATGGTGAAAATTCAAATATAAAGTAGGTTAAAATTATCCTAAATGAAAATTTCATCCCAAAATCGTGTAGTAGTTGGTGAAGTTGTAATGTAGTTCGTGAAGTTGTAATTAAGAGAGAGAAAATAATAGGTGATCATTTGTATTATTATTAAATTTTAATATTAAATAATTAAAATTAATGAAGTACATTGAAACGACAAGCCTCTCAACAATACGAGTGTAGTTAGTGTTAGTAATACTTTTTATTATATCTATTTTTAATCAATTCCTCATAAGTGTATGGCATGGTATCAGTATAGGCAAAGTTCCAGTTCCAGTTCCTGAACTAATTAGTTCTAGTTCCAATTCCGGAACTAGAACTACGGAACTAGTAAATGCCTGGAACTAGCTTGGAACTGGAACTACGGAACTAGTAAATGTCTGGAACTAGCTTTGGAACTACTTCTGGAACTAGTTCCTGCGGGGTATATTTTTAACAAAATTTCCTCGACAAAGTTTACGGAATTTTTAATATTGTTGTAAATATTACCTGCAGCGCGCTGAAAATGGAAGAAATCTGGCTGCTTGAGCTCCAAAATTCTAAAAATTTCGCCTGCGACGCTGAAAAAGTGAATTTGTTTTGCCTACAACCTTAGAAATTCTCAAAAATTTCGCCTGCGGCGCTAAAAAAGAGAAGAAAACTGTTGATCAAAAAAATCCCCTTATACCCCTGATATCACCAAAAATATCAAACGTCCTCTTATACCTCTGATATCCTCTTCCTCTTATACCTCTATAAAAATCCTCTTATACCCCTGATATCACCAAAAATATCAAACGGTACTATCGAGATTACGGGATTAATCCGACGGGATCCTATCCCGTAAAAAATTATGAAAAAATTCCGTTATGGGATCCCGTGTATGCGATTTTGCCGCATACCAAAGATTTTTTAAATTGGGCCTTTATTTGTTAAAATTGATAAATCTCTTCATATTCAAAAAAATTTAAAAGTTTGGAACTAGAACTAGCTTGGAACTAGTTCCAGAACTGGAACTAAGGAATTAAAAATAATACATTATATATCCTTTTAAACCATATTTATTTAAATTATAATTTTGAAATAAAAATCCAGAATAATTAATTGCTCTTTAATTTTAATTATATAAAAAATCAAATACTTATAGTCAAAAATAATTTTCTAAATAATTTGAATTATTAAATAATTTGTTTAAAATCACAAACTTATCACTTTAATTTGTTAGAAATCCCTCGATATCTCCTCAAATATCTTATTTAATCTAAATCTAATCCTTAATATCATATCCATATCCTTATAATCGATTGATAACTCCTTTACATCAGATCTTCTCGATAATCCCTTGTCTTCTACAAGTCCTCCTTAATCTTCAAATAATTTAAATTTTTGAATTATTTGCTTTAAATTTCAATAATATTTTAAAGATAATATTTACTTTTCAAATGATTCGATCCGAAAGTATACAACATTTTCTTGTAAAAATTTCGCCTAATTTTATCATTTTTACGATTTTATTTATCGAAATTGTCCAAAAATGATCCAAATTTAAAAGTTTTTTCAATATCTTATAAATAAGTAGCACAATATAATGAAGCAATATTTATCCTATGTATATTAAAATATATATTTTATACATTAATTAATTTTTAAATGAAAATTTTTATTAGTTAAGGCAAATTAATCTTATTATTAAAATAAAAAACCAATTTTTAATTAAAAGTTATTATAAAATTTTATGAAAATATTTACACGTAACCAATTTTTACTTAAAAAGTTATTAGTTAGTGATTAAGTTAGTGATTTTTAGGCAAATATAAAATGGAAAAAACGATAAAGCACCAATTGAATTAAAAGTATATTGTGCATCATACGTGCCCGAAAATATAATAAATAATTGCAAAGATAAATAAAATTTCTAATTAAAAAAAGTGAGAATAAACGATGGCATGATTTGTGATGATACATATAAATTTCAAGAAGATTTCTTGATATTATTTTTTTAAATTATATTTATTCGTTAAAGATAAAGAAAAAACATAATTCTTGAAAAAAGTAATTTAAATTATATATAATTATTTATTTTTTAAAATTTAATTGAAAAATTTTAAAAACAAAGAAAAAAATGAAGTTTTAGAGTGATGAAATCTTTCGCCTTGTGATCAGGAGTTGATTCATTCTTTAATATGAAATGTTCTGCAGCCTAAGGCTTCTTGGATAAAATTTTCCTTAGGCATTAGACCTTGTTAATTTAAAATACAAGGATTTACAGTAAGGTGCAAAAGTTTAGAACATTTTGCTTTAAATTGCTAAATCGATAATTTTTCTTTAATTTCTTAGTGAACGGCCTAAATTGAAATTTTTTTAATTAGCTGTAAGTGTCTTCTATATAATGAAACAAAATGTTTCTAATTAGTTTCGCATTTTTTTATATTTTACCCTTATTATATTTTATACCTAAAAATTAAGGGGAGCAAAAGTTTGGAACATTTTTGATTTGACTATATTTTGATGTCAAAATCTAAACAAAAAAATTATAAAAATTCAAGCAGGCATTATGATCAATAATAGAGGAAAATAAAAAAGAAAAAAGCCCATATCTTATTCCACTGTCGAGATCTCGCCACCCTGAAAATCAACGTAAAACGAGGTTTTTCATATTCAAAAAATATTTTAGACCCCTTACGGATTGTTCTAAATTTTCATTTAGGGCTTATCTGAAAGCCCTTGAAATTTGCTATAATAAAGCATTAATCTCATTTTTTTATAAAAATTTGTTAACGAGATAAGGACCGTTTATCATTCGAACGCATCAAAAATCGCCTAAATGCCCATAAAATGCCCTTTCGAAAAACAAACGGTCCTTTTCTAACGATTGTTCACGTTGATTTTTGAGGGTTCAGAATCTTGGCTTAGAGTAAAGATAGGGGCCAGGTTTCTTTATATTCTATTATAATATCAATATATATGTTCGATAAAATTTTTGTAGATTTTTTGGTTAGATTTTGGCATCAGAATAAAATTAAATAAAAAATGTTCCAAACTTTTGCACTACTTATTTTTTAGGTATAAAATATTTTAAGGATAAAATATCAGAATCTCGGCTTAGAGTTTTTTTTTCTTGGTTTTTTATTTATAACATCTTTAGACTCACGCGGATGACGATGAATTTCGTTTTCCATAGAAAATGCTTGCTTTCGCAAGTTATACAATATATTTAATTCATTACGAGTCATATCACGTCTTGCAGTTATAAACTGCGGAAAAGTTGGATTTTTCTTAAGACATTTACAAAAATTGTATAAAAAGTTATCCCGAGATTTTTTGTTGGTGAATGGAATTTTAACTATTCTTGGTTTTTTATTTATAACATCTTTAGACTCACGCGGATGACGATGAATTTCGTTTTCCAACAAATCTTCTGACACTCCACAATCAGCCGCAATTTTTTAGCAATATTAATGATGTCTGTGTTGTCTGGAGCACGTTCAATAACCACTCTTTTAGATTTAGATTTAATTTCGTCAGCATCAAGAATAGCGTTGTTTAATATATTAGCAAAATAGGATTGATCATCAAAAGAGGAATTTTGATGTTTGTTGCTAGCAGAGAAAGGGTCTCCAAATAAAGATTTAGGATTTGTTTCAGATTGTTGTTGTTCTTGTTCATTTGTAAGAATATCCTTACATAATTCCATAACTGAATTACAAATTTCTTACAAATTTCTATTTTTTATTACAAATTTCTATTTTTAATTATTAAAATAATTTTATAACTAAAATACCTTTATAACTTTCCAAAAAAGCAAAAAATATAAATTATCTTATGTTAAATTTAATAAAAATATAGTTGTAATTACACTAGGAATTAATATTAAAAAATTCAAAATTTATATTGAAATTAATATTTAAATATTAAATATTAAAATATTATGTGTGCTTATGTTGAAAGAAAATAGGTCTCCAAAAAAGCAATAAAATAAAAAAATTTCAAATGGATTTCTTAAAATAAAAATATATAAAACAAATATATAGGTTATAAAAGAAAAAAATATTTAATTTAAATTTACTTGTCTTTATACAAATATTCTTTTAAATATTTATTGATTTTTATAAAGAATTCTACACGCATTTGCACTCTTCTTTTTTTTAATCAATTAAATAATTTTTCTGTCCATATATTTTGAAAAGGTCAACGGGAGCCGGAAAGTTGTGCACTGGAAAGTTGTGCACTAAGGCGGAAATCTGTGCACAAGCAGAAATCTGTGCACTAAATTGGAATTTTGTGCACTACAGCGGAAAGTTATAACTTTTTAATGCAAATTATATATCAGCCGAAAGAGCTCTTCGAGCTGAGTAGAATGATAATATGATCGGTTAAATTTGGCGATTCTGAACAAAATTACGAAGGAAAATCCTTGATGGACATGCTTTTTGCACTTTCTAAAAACAACACAATTGCTAGAATAAAACTTAAATCTCTTATTTCTATTGCTTTTGTACCAACAGATAATGTTTATGAATCTGTTGTTGTGGAATATTTGTAACCACCCATGTGGAATATGTGTAATCAACCTTTGGAATATGTGTAAATATTTGAAATATGTTATAAAAAATTATTTTGAAAAATTTATTATCCCAAAATATACCTGAAAGCATTCACTTAGTTGAATTCTTTTTTATAACATGTTGATGTTAAATTGAGGGTTGTTAAGATTATTATATACGATTATTATCTCCGAAGAAGCTTATTTTATACATATATTAATATAGTAATTAATACTTTATTTGTAAATAAATTTACAGTCTTATATAAATATCATTATAATCTAGTTCTTTACCTAAATCATTTTCATCTATTTAAATTTTTTTTAAAACTTTTACTACTATTTCGTAAGTTATTTACGTGCTAAAATTTAGCATTTATACGCAAAAATATTAAAAAATGGGTTTAAATCTCAAGGGATTGTAAAAAATTTGATACTGGTGCTTTAAATTTATTTCATGTTAATGATAAAACTATTGAAATTAATTTTTATAATAATGCTCAATAATCTGTGTAATAATCTTGAAATCCTACAAATTTTTGTGTTATTTATAAAGATAGATTTAAGAAATATGTTTTAATATTATTTTAGCATTGTTAAATATTAAGATTTCATTCAAATTAATTTGAATTTATTTAAAACTACAGTCGTGGAAAAAAGTATGGAAGCGCTAGAAAATTTTTTCTCAATTCTTAATTTTTCATTCAAAAAATACGTTCTATATACCAATCGAAAGCTTTATTCGTATCTCAGTTGACATGTTTCTGCATTTTTCATGAAAATGAAAATTGGACGAGATAATCCGGATCTACCGGATATACTAAATCCCATTTTTTCGGAAAAATTTTTCGGAACAAATTTAACAAACCCAAATGATAAAGCATATTTTTCTGAGTATTTTCCACAAAACCGCTTAGAAATATCTTTTTCCGGTCCAGAGATATGATTTTTTGAAAATCGCATTTTTCCCTTAAAAATTGAATTTTTTGCAAGAATTGACGAAAAATGCCATTTTCAAAAAATCATATCTCTGCTCCGAAAAAAGATATTTCTAAGCGGTTTTGTGGTAAATGCTCACAAAAATATACTCTATCATTTGGGTTTGTTAAATTTGTTCCGAAAAATTTTTCCGAAAAAATGGGATTTAGTATATCCGATAGATCCGGATTATCTCGGCCAATTTTTATTTTCATGAAAAATGCAGAAACATGTCAACTGAGATACGAATAGAGCTTTCGATTGGTATATAGAACGTATTTTTTGAATGAAAAATTAAGAATTGAGAAAAAATTTTCTAGCGCTTCCATACTTTTTTCCACGACTGTATATCTTATTTATTAAATAGATTTGAATTCGAAATCTTTTTTATGTATTGCACGTTATTTCGCTGACACTTCTTCTAATAAAATAGACAAATAATGAATAAAAATTCATAATTTACTAAAATGAATAAACTCATTAAAAATCGGCTATTGATCTTATTCCATTAGAAGAAGAAGACCAATACGGGGCTGCAGATGCTTGGATTCAAGAATAGATAAATAACATCTAGCCTACAACAAATAAAAGCATTATTTCAATAAGATATTCTAATAATGTAGAAGCATATGCGTATGAATCAGATTTTTTGTACAGAAATAATACAACATCCAATAAAATTATTAAATTATTTGCTGAAATAAAAATAAATTGCGAATAAAAGAAATGGATATTTAAATGAAATAAACAACTTATATTATGAAAAATGAATGTAGCTTTAAATGTTTTAACAGTCTAAATTAAATAAATTTATTGGACTAGATGTGAACAAAATCACTTCACTGCTTAAAGTAATACCAGTTACATTACATAAATCATTAAATAAAGAAAAAATAATAAAAGAGTTTGCATTATCATATGACTGAGCCAAAAATCGTATATAGAAGAACCATTAATGTTTTTTCAGCTTTATACTGCTGCAAATTTTTGCTTGTTATATTGTTTTATTGATTTGGGATATTTCTTATATTGTTTCCTGTTATTTATAAATTTGTTGCTTTTTCACTTATAAATGTAAAATATATATAATTATTATTTTATTATTAAAAATTGGTTAATTAGAATTCGATTTAATTTGAATTTAAACGTGATATTGTATATTTTTTAAACAAATTGTATACTTAAATAAGAAGTTTTATTGATTTATTAAATTAAATATTATTAAAGTTGATATATTTTTTATTAAAATTCTAAATTATTTAATATATATATATATATATATCTATTTTTTAGCTAAAATATAAAAATAATTGATTTTGAGCATAAAAAATTATAGTTTATAATACAAATTTAATTAAAACAAAAAAGGGAATGTAAAAATATATAATTTATTTAGTTAAAAACAGAAATTATGATAACAATATTAATATAACAATAAAATCTAATAAAAATATTTTATAATTCTTTTTGATTGTGGAATTATAAAAATTATTAGGAACTGGAGAATATAAGGATATTATATTCATTAAATTATATTATATTTATTAGATTCTCTGCTTAAATCCTCTGATTAAAAAATGCAGATACAGTTTTTCTCAAAAAAACTCATCATATAAATAGAATAAATTGTATAATTATAGCTGAAAAGATTAAATGAAATTCGTTATTAGCAGCAACGGCTCTGGTTTATTTTTAAGCCGGTAATGCGGGAAACTCTATACTTCATGACGATAGCCAATATCCCATACAAAAATGGCTTGTAGAGCAATTCAAGACTCCAAATAATAATGAAGAATAAAATTCAATCGAGCTTTGTGCTAATGAACATGCGTTGAACACGCTTTTAACAGCTTGTTAAGTTCTTCACAACATTGTTATAATAACTAAAAATTGTTGAATGTAATATAAGGACGGTATTGAGGATAATCATCCATAAATTTGACGCCCACCACCCTCCATTTCTTAATTATCATCATCAACAATAAAAGTATGATTTTTATTTTTCTCATAGTCATTTAATTACTTGTCAACGAATCAAAGATCACAACCCAGACTTTGTCCAACAGCTGTTGGCTATTGAAGGTGCGGCGATGCGATTAAAAATGAATTGTTACGGCATTTTTTACATTGAATTTTTTTCCGTAAAATGCTTGAAAGGGCGGGGGGAATTTAATAGATCTGCTAATGAATCAGTCGGAAAGTGTGACTCGGAACATCGATTGACTTAAATTAAAATATAAAAAACAAATGTTAATGACTAGTTCAAAATCATTAAAATAAAATATGAGAAAAACAACAAAATATGCATAAAAATTATAGTATTTTTATTTTGAAAATAATATTTTCTTAATCGCTGCTGAAAAGCTATAAAAATTAGTCAGTTTGTTTTTTAAGAATCAGATTGTGTTTTCTAAGGTTGACTCATTTCAAACTTGTTTAAATAAATAATATTAAATTACTAAAAAAATTAAAGATAAAAATATTTAATAAACATATTATTCTAATAATATTATTTGGTATTTATTAATTAAATTTTAAATTCTGCTATATTTGCTAATTTAAATTCAAAAAATATTAATCAAATTTATTTTCAAGCGTATTGTAAAATTGACTATAAATGAATTCATCATTTTGTGTGTTTCAATTTAAAAATTTTTGATATGTTGTATTATTATAATTGTAGAGTAAATTAAATGCTTCTCAAGAAATTGAGTATCCGTAGCTAAAACAATTTTTTTCTTTTATTTTTTATCTATTTCGCGCTTTTAGAAGTGCAAAATCTTCCTTTAATATTTCTCTTTATATTAACAGATTACTTAACCACATTAATATTAAGAATGTTCATATTGTTTTTTGTTGATTTTTTATGACATTTAATTTCTATATAATAAGAATAATTTTCTGGTCGTGGTTCTGCTTCCTTTTTATGTATTATTGTCTCACTTGCATTATTGAAAATTAAATATAATATTAAATTCTGTTTGAATTAAATAATTAAATTAAATAAATTACCTAAATAAAAAGATTAGACAGAGTTACTATATTTGTGTGAGTTCAGCTTAATGAAGAAAGTACACACTTAAAAATAACTATTATTCTTTGAAAAGATTTATTATAATTATTAAAATAAATAAATTAATTAATCAAAACAATATCAATTTAAAATTTTATAC